TTGCTGTCCAAGGTAGACGATTTTATCAACTTGCTCAAGTTTGGTATTATTTACATATATAGACGGTTTTATATTCTGTTGTTTACTTATTACGAGTATTTTAGTTTTCCTTATGTTAAGATCCAGACCTGCCTCCCTACAACTCTCAACGACACTATCAAGTAGTGTTTGCAGATCTTCTTGACTAGAAGCTAGGAGTACTGTATCGTCCGCATATCGCAAATTATTGATGACTTCGCCGTTCACAAGTATTCCTTCTTGTTTTTCAGAAAGTGCTTTTCTGAAAATTCTTTCGAAGTAAATGTTAAAAAGCAGGGGTGACAAGAGGCATCCCTACCGTACTCCTCTTTTAATATTGAGAGCTTGTGATTCCACACTATCTACTAAAACTGATGTTGTTTGATTCCAATATAAATTTGCAATTATTCGAACATCTCTGCCGTCCAAGCCAATGTCTTTTAGAGCTTCGATCAATATAGAGTGCTTAACACGATCAAATGCCTTTTGAAAGTCAATAAAACAACAGTATATGTCTACAGATATATCACGACATCTTTGAGCAAGTACGTTCATTCCAAACAGTGCCTCTCTCGTTCCAAATCCGTTACGGAAACCAAACTGAGTGTCATCCAGGTATTCCTCACATTTATTGTAGATACGACCATGTATTACCTTCAGAAAAATTTTCAATAAGTGGTTTAACAAACTGATAGTTCTATAATCAGCACAGGTTTTTGCTGTTGTCTTCTTAGGTAGAGCTATAAACAGTGAGTTAGACCAACCATTAGGTAGTTGTCCGCTGGTATAAATGGTATTGAAAAACGAAGTTATAGCCTCTAAAACATTGCTATCCTTTATAAGCTTATATATTTCAGTTGGAATTTCATCAGGACCAGTCGCTCTGCCATCTTTTGATGATTGTATGGCCTTTATAACCTCACGGCGTGTTATTAGGGGTCCGTCGCAGTTAGTAATATCGGGAGGTGAACTACTCCTATCGTCTTCGAATAGGTTCGTGACGTAATTTTCCCATTCTTTAAGTTTGTCATCTACTTCGAATATTACTTTAGCATTTTCATCTTGTAGCAATGCATTTTGTTTCTTATTGAAGATACCAGCCGCTTCTTTTACTTTTTTATACATGTTAAACGTGTTGTTAAATGTGTTAAACGTGTTGCACCACTTGATATTTTAATAATATTTGGCTAGGAAATGCTTGCTGGTGCATAGTAATCCTATCTGATTTTAAACTTTGCACTATTTAAATGCAAAAAAATGTTGATCGGCCCAGTTTTTTGAATATAAACCTACCTACATTTATGAAAGAAGATTAACGGGAAAGAACATTGCTACATTTTAAATGAACAAACTTTATTATAATACATACAATACATACATACAATAATGAAAATACAAAGTTTGAATCTAATTCCACCATAATTTGTCGCATTCTGGAACAATGTAAAATCCTCGTCTGGAAATTTTCTTGGGAATCTTGCGATTTACGGCGCCAATTACATTGTCCCACGAATACCATATTTCGTCACGCCTTTCTGGCCATTTCCAAAACTTTAACGATTTTAACATGGCATTGATTATCGCTCCGTAATTTTCTATTGCTGGTATAACTCCAGGGTAAAAATGATCTTCATAGACAAATAAAACGGGCGACTACGAACTGCCCTACGAACTACCCGGGCCGAGAAAGTTGGGGATTAAGTCTTAATGACCGGAAATTCCAAATTTGATCATAGTTGAAAGTAAGAATATAAATATTTTCAGTTATTCACTTCAGTTGCAAGTATTACGGTATAGTTTTGTGTTTAACATTTAAATGGCGAATCCAACGACTATGTTTAGTCAAAGGGGAGAACTGTTATTAATAATTAATGAATATAAATATTCAAAAGCCCATGTCTCCAAAGATGGAAAAGTTAGATGGCGATGCATCAAAAAAGGCTGTCAACAAAAAGTGTACACAAAGGAAGGTGATGAAAATTATGTTATTCTTGAAAAAGCATCGGAGCATAATCATGCTCCAGATATCCACGTAGACCGGCAAATTTTTAGTAATTCTACAAAGAAAAAAGCTGTAGAAGATATATGTGAAAAACCTTTTAAGATTGTCCACAAGGAATTGAGAAAGGAAAAATTCAGCAATTTACCGCTGACGACGAAAGACATTTCTTGCGTTCGAAGAAATATCTATGCTACAAGACGAAAATCCACACCATCATTGCCCAAGTCACAGAAGGAAGTTCTACAAGTGTTAGTGAACTTAAATTTAAAAAACAAATACAGGTGAAAACTTTTTATTATCTACGAAAAATAATTCCGCAATTTTTTAGTTGTTTCACAAATCTTTACTTTTTGTGTAATGTAGATTCTTTGTATGTAGATGGAAATTTTCAATACTGTTCTAAATATTTTTGTCAGATGTTTGCTATACATGGCTACAAAAATGGATTTTATGTTCCTCTAGTATTTTGTTTGTTACCAAATAAATCACAGCAATCGTACAAAAGTACTTTTGATACATTAATAACAATATGTACAGATTTGAATTTAAATTTCAAACCGAAGCGAATAATTTATGATTTTGAAATAGCAATTCAAAATGCAGCCAAGTTAGTGTGACCCGACATTATTATTTTTTGTTGCAAATTTCATTTAACACAAAATTGGTACCGAAAAATTCAAAATTTAGGTTTGTCCTCGGAATATAAAAATCAAACTGTTATTGGAAAATATTTAAAATTGTTTTTCGGCATTCCTTATTTACATCCAAATGATGTTGGTGACTTTTTTTCTGATGAACTTTTTAATATTATGCCAGAGGATGACAGAGTTTTGCAATTTTGTGATTACCTAGTTGATAATTATTTAACGGAAGATTCAACATTTCCACCTTACATATGGGCTTCAAATTCATCATCTCTTATATTTACTACAAACGCATGTGAATCATTTCACTCGAAATTTAACGAATGTTTTTATAAATCACATCCTGACATATTTAAATTTACACACATTTTGTTAAATTTTCAAGCAGAAGTATATGTGAAAATTAGAACTGCACATAGATTCGAAAAATAACTTGATAAAACGGCAAAAAGAAAAGTTGATTTTATTGAAAATAGGCTAAATGAATATTACGTTAATCAAAACATTACTAAATTGGACTTCAAGTCAGTTTGCAATTATTATGCAGCTAACTTTTAAAATCTAAAATAAAGTGTTCACTCTTACTTATTTGAATCACTAGTCTGATATTAGAATTAAGCATTGTTATTGTTTAACTATAGTTTTTGTTATTGTATATAAGTTAATATAGATTTATAAATAAACTTTATTCGATTACTTCTATTGTTATAGTTTCATTATTTAATCATTTAAAATTTTCGCTCATGCTTTGAGAATTGGGTTCCTTTTTGAATACAAGAAAGTAAAATAAAAACTATATTATGTTCACAAAAATATTATCTAAGTACGTGGGTAGCGTGGGGCAGTTCGTAGTCGCTTTTAATCCTACTATAAAACTTAACCCATTAAAATCTAGGTAGCGTGGGGCAGTTCGTAGTCGCCGAATAAAACATATCTACTCACCAGTATCTGGTAACGTTACTAGACTTAATGAATTTTCCCTATACCTAGGGAATTTTGAGCCAGCTTAGGCAAAAAGGGATTGTTATTCAATTCTATGAAAAATCTTAATAGGATAGAATAAAGGGAATTCTTAATATTTGTAAGACTTTTTTAAAAAATCAGTTGGATTTTATAAACTTTCCAAAATTTCACATATATCATCTACTTGGAAATCGTACTATTCTTGTAATTACTGAATTCTGTTTATGTGATTTCCCGTCGGAGACTAGAGTGGTTAAATTTCACGAACTGCGAATTACGTCGGGGATCCACCTGGGCTAAAGTATATACTGGGCTCGGGCGATTTTTGGTTTCTAGTTTCTCTTTTCTCTAACTGTTTATGTGATTCCCCGTCCGTGACTAGAGTGGTATTTCACAAAGGGCGAATTACGTCAAGGATCCACCTGAACTAAAATATCTTAATACTTTGATATTTTTACGCCTTCTTACTATAAATACAACTATAAAACACGTGTGCAGAAGGGATAAAAATAATTATAGTAAAAACATTTCTGTACAACTTAGGAACATGCTGACCGCCAAGAATCTGGAGAACTTTTCTTAAAAGTCAAGTATCTAGCGAGAGAAATCAAACCGCAAACACAGATTATCAAAGATAATAGTGGAAAGACCTATCATAAAAAATCCAGACGGTCTCGCAAAGGTGTGGAATCAATATTGCGAAATACTATTATCTAACAACGACCCCAGACAATAATACAGAGAAAAGAAGTTATGAAAAAGAACCTTAAATATTGAAATCCTAAATTGAGGCGGCAATTAAAAAGCTAAAATCCAAAAAAGCAGAAGGAGAAGATCGAATAACAGCTGAAAAACTCAAAGAAATGGGAGAATTAGAGACGGAAGTAATGCTTAGAATTTGCAATGAGATTTGGAATACTAGAAAGTGGCCAGGTGACTGAGGTAAACTCACGTTTATTTCCATATATATAAAAAAGGTTCACCGACAGTTTGCAGTAATTACCGCAGAAGAGCATTGATATCACACGTGGGCAAAGTACTTATAACCATCATTAATGAAAGAATAAAATCAATTCTCTTACCACAAATTCCCAAGAACAGTGAGGAATCGTCTCACGATCTTTCGGCATTGTTCCACCCTCATAGGTGTCTCGTAAGTCTCGTATTTGGAGGGTCACGAATTTATCAATGTACGTAAATGTCAACGTCAAAATTGAATAACGTGCTATTAATTTTGTGTAAAATGTGTTGTTTGTTATACAGGTGGATATAGACAATAATATGAAATTAGGAAAGAAAACAGGAAAATAAGTTTATTGATCAGGTTAATAATAACAGCCAATAATATATTTTATAATTTATTTATACTTTTTACAAAAAAAATTTTTGTCTGCTCAACATATATGACACACAATATAATAATATATAAAAATAACAAACGCAACATATCTATTGAGCAAAAATACCAGTGTTCCCAAATAAGTTTACTTCCAAATCCTTTTGGCAGGTAATTTATCTGTGTTTGGAACTGCAGGTTTTAATATTTGTGTAGAGTTAGGTTTTTATTGCACATGATTCATTACTGAAATTGTGATTGAGCAAAATAAATAATTTTATAGACAAAGTTGTTGTCAACGATACTATAATTCGTTGTGAACGTATTCAGTCGTTACTTTTAATTCTTCAACGTGGAAACCATCACATTCTGGTGAATAAAGTTTCTGAAAATAGATAAATATCGTTAATTATAATATCCTGACAGTCCTGATATGAAAATTATATGTAATCGTAGTGGAATCAAACTGCCAAAGTAGGAGTGGACAACCATAACACACGAGATATCAAAATACAGAGAGAGGCATTTAAAGAAGCGCTCTCGGGTTCAATAGAAGGTCTATCTACAAATGGAGAAGTTTCGAATACTTTGAGTTTTGCAGAAGATACAGTAATAATGACGGATAATAACAACGATTTACAGAACGTAATGCAACGTCTTAATCAATGCTGTCATGAATATGAACTAAGGATGAATTTGAAAAAAAAACTAAATGCATGATCATGAATAAATCAGCAAATGTCAACATCTAATTGATTGTTCAAGATACTGCAATTGAGAGTGTGAATACCTACAGATATTAAGGAACATGGATAACATCAAATGTAGACCAAACCGAAGAAATTAAGACACGTATTACAATAGCACGTGTATAATTCGTTAAACTTAATAAGTTTCTTAATTGTCGGGATATACGGTTAGAACTACGCTTAAGGATGCTTCGATGTTATCTCTTCTTTATGACTTGGAAGCATGGACAGTAAAACAAGTGTATCTGATTAAGTTAGCCTCCTTTAAATATCGATGTTACAGAAGAATCCTACGAATATCATGGACACAAAGAATGTCAAACACAGAAGTGACTAGAAGAATAGGAAATGAAGCTGAAATAATATTGACTATCAAAAGAAGAAAACTTAAATACTTGGGCCATATTATGAGAGGGCACAGATACTTATCATACTCTTCATAGGAAGGATCATACCAGAAAACATAATAAAGAAAGTCACAGCCAGTAAATCGTACTTTAACATGACAGAAATGACTATCAATGAAATTATTAAATGAAAGTATAATGCTACATGATAAATAAAAGTAATAGAACAGAAGGAACTAAACAAATATGACACAATCAAAAGCGACAAGCTCGACGTTATACTCTATAAGAGTAGTTGCGAGTATGATGTAGGAGATAACGTGATTAGTGGGTAAGGTCAGGTTAGTATACTTCGCGTGAAGTACCTAAAGTCTCACAATACCCTAAAGCAAAAGAACGGGAGCTAGGATGAGCATGAGTGTCACCTTTTGAAAAGTGCAGTGAATAGTAAACAGCTTACTAGTGAAGTAATACTCTGTAATAAAATTGAGATTGCGGAAGTCCTGATGAAGGCCACAGGGAGGCAGTCGAAGTCTCGATATAGCAAAATCCTGTGGCGAATCCCGAAAACAAAGCAAATTTGATAATAATGTTTCTAATAAGCCTCACTTCCACATGCAAACTTTAAAACCATTCAGCTTCTTGACAATATAGATCTAATATTGACACTTAACGTGAAGAATTGATGTGAGTAATAGCTTTACGTGTTTCGACAGCGTAAGCCACTGATACAGATACAATTTTATTTCTTCTAAATTTCCTGGTAAAGCTTGGTTTCATAGAGGAAATTAGTAAGGTTTTGGAATTGATCTGGCGAACTGAGAATATCTTGTAGGTTTCGACTTAAAAGATACTTTCTTCTTTCGTTGTTAAAGTGGGGACAATCTACGAGAATATGTTTGACAGATAGAATATTACCACTACTCTTCAATGTCTACACTGTGTACATGTAAGTGGATCTTGGAAAGTCATTAAATGTTTATGAGTTAGTCTTGTATGGCCGATTCTAAGTCGGCAAATTAAGATTTTGTTTTTTCGTGTCATGGAAGGAAACTCGAGCTTTTTAACGCTGGGGTGGATGTCACAAAGCTTGGAAGGGATTTTATTGAAGTGATCTTGCCAAGATATTTGGATGATATTTTTAAAATACGACTGTAAATCTGTATGTAGTTGTATGTTTTTAGTCTTTATATTAGAAGACGAGGCTCGTTTTGCAAAGAGGTCGGCTAGTTCGTTACTAGAGATTCCTACATGAAACAGAATCTAGATCATGGTTATGACTACTCCCATTATTATAGATTGAATAGCTTGAACGAAAGGATGTACCGTGTACATACTTTTTAGAGAATAGATCTGTGTTTGAAGTTACAGCACATCCAACAGATATAGGACTCTTCGAGGCATCTGTGTATAAAATTTGGTCAAATCTGTTGTTAGCAAGCCTTAATACTAATATTTTGTTGCTCAGTTAACAACTTTATTTGTTTAATCATAGAATAATCAGAATCTAATCTAATATAATCCGTTGCAGAAAATGGGCGATCAACTGGAGTGTGAGAACTGTAGAGGCATTACTCTGTTAGCATCTGCGTATAAAATCTTTGGCTACTGTTTGAAAGACTTAAACATTTTACAAAGGATATTGTTCAATTTTAATGCGGATTTACTGCTGTAAAGTCAACTACCCATTCTAGATAAGTCACTAGAATATTGGATATATACATACCATCTCTTAGTCGACTTTAAAAGCAGACTATGACACTGTCAAAAGACCTGCATTATATAATGCAATGATAGACTTTGAAATCTCACTTAAGTTAGTTAAGTTGACCCAAATAACAATGCAAACCATAAGCGCATGTATTAGAATTGAAGGAGAAAACTCTACGTTCTTTGACATTATTAATGGTCTAAAAAAGGCAATCAGACAATTAAATATTAGAATATATGGAACTATTTTTAATAGATCTACGCAAATTCTCGCATTCGCTGACGATATATTTAGTACAATGAACACAAGTATAAGAGACATGGTGCAGTGTTTTACAAGACTTGCTACAAGACAAGTGAATTAGGACTTGTGGTAAACGAGGAAAAAACCAAATATATGTTGGTTTCTAAAAATCCCCGACATATCCACGAGAGAATTAAAGTTAACAACTATACCTTTGAGCAAGTCAAAGAATTCACATATCTTGGATCGCTAGTAAACGCTACAAACACGACAAGCAACGAAATAAAAAAGACCCATAGCAACAGAACTGTTCACGGTCTTCAAAAACATTTAAAAAATAAAAATATAAAACGTGCAGTAAGGCTCAATATAATACAAGACCTTAATAAGACCGGTTTTGATATATAGGGCTGAAACGTGGACTTTATCGCAAAATGATGAAAGACTTCTTGGTATTTTTGAGAGAAAAAATTCTTAGAAAGATTTTTGGGGCCGTAAATGAAAATGGATTATGGCGTCAAAGATACAACTTTGAACTACATTCAGTTATACATCGATCCAGATATTATGAAATTCGTTAAAGTGTAGACACTTAGGCTGGACACATTGCTAGGATTTCAGATCACGAATACAAGAAGAGATTAACACTTTCAATTCAAAGAGATTAACCAGAAGGCACAAGAAGTAGAAGACGACCACGAAGAAGATGGATTGATGATGTGGAAAAAGACCTACACATTCTAAGGGTCAGAAGGTAGAGAAAAGTTGCCAGGAATCGACAGGAGTAGCGACTTCTTTGTGAGCAGACTAAGATCCACAACGGATAATACCGGGGAACCATTTGTCGTTTAAAATGCGAATTATAAATTAAACTATTAATTTTTAAACTTTTCATTCAATATAAAAACAGAAATCATCCCTCACTTTGTAGGGGAACCTGGCCCAAAATGACATACTAGGGTAAAATGACACATTCGGTGTATCTCTAACTTGGCAACATGGCTATGCGCTAAGAAGTTTTATACAAGAGCATCACGTGGTGCATAATTGATGTTCCAACGGGCGTCGCGATCAGTTCAGTCTATTACTTGTTAAAAGGTGGTTTGTGCTTTATTGAGTACCAAAATATTTTGGGTAGGCGACGTATACTTCGCTATAAAACGTTTAAAACTTTAAAATTTTATATCTCTGTTAGTTCCAGGTATGTATTGTTATTCATATTAACAGAAACATCATGTTTGGAAGTTTTGTTTGTTTAAACAAAAAATTTATTGTAAAAAACGTGTTCTTGTTCACACTTGGGTAAAACGACATATTAAATACTCGGGTAAAATGACATAGTATGTCATTTTGCCCATATAAATTTTAATAATAATATGGTAGGTAGTATATTAATGTATGGTATTTTTCTTTTTTAGTATGGTGGGACACTACGAAAGGAAAAGTACACGCCAGTCTTGGGATCCAGTAAAAATGCAAAGAGCCATCCAGGCAGTCCAGTGTGGAGACATGGGCTGGTTAAAAGGATCGATAACTTTTAATGTGCCCCAAGCTACTTTAAGAAGACGAGCATCAGACAAAAATAAACGGGTATCAGGTACTAATAAAGGTCTTGGCCGGTACGAAACTACGTTCTCTGTAGAATTAGAAAGAGACCTCGTAACACACATAAAACTCCTAGAATCAAGTTTGTTTGGATTATCTTGTGATGACGTTCGTTCTTTAGCCTGCCAGTTAGCAGATCGAAATGGAATACTAAGATGACTGGTTGGGATTGGTTACGAGGGTTTCGGTGTAGACACCCCGATATATCACTTAGAAAACCCGAGTCCACGTCTGCAGCAAGATCGCAATCACTCAACAGGCCGCAGATTGCCTATTTTTTTAAACTTTTAGAGGATACTATTACAAATAACAAAATTAATCCTACACGCATATGAAATGTGGATGAATCAGGCCTATCCACGGTTCAAAAACCCAGCAAAATATTTGCAACCAAGGGTCGGAAGCAAGTGGGCCTAATTACAAGTGCGGAAAGAGGGCAGCACATAACGATGGTTGCTTGCATTAGCTCAGTGGGGAATTATGTTCTACCAACACTTATATTCCCCAGGAAAAATTGGAAAAAAGAATTAATAGATGAAGCGCCTTTAGGAACTTTAGGAATAGCACAGGAAACAGGATGGATGACAGGCGAAGGGTTCCTAACATGGATGAAACATTTTAAAGAATATTCTAATCCTTCTATAGAAGACAAGGTTATGCTGTTGCTTGATGGGCATGCGAGCCATAAAAACATTAATGTTTTAACTTTTGCCAAAGAACATGGAATAGTGATATTGTGTTTTCCGCCGCACTGTACCCACCGTCTACAGCCGTTAGATGTACGTTTCTTTGGTCCATTAAAGAGCTACTATGATCAAGAAGTTACCAAGTGGATAAAGTGTCATCCAGGCAGAACAGTTTCGCAATACCAAGTTGGAGGATTATTTGCTACAGTGTATGGAAAAGCAGCTACACACCAAAATGCCGTTAGTGGATTTTTAAAGACTGGAATTTGGCCCCTTAATCCCGACATATTCCCTGATTATTTATTTAATTCTTCCAAAATAACAGATATTCAAGAAGAAGTTGCAATTCAACCCCCAACAGAGTCAAAAGAAGAGAATGATAATGTTTTGCGACATCAAGATTTTCCAGATCAAGGAAATAAACCGGTTTCTACAAATAGATTAAACTCACTTGAAAGTTGTTCTTCAATTAATCCTGGTATTCGTCCACTTGACATTTCACCTCTTCCATCGTGTTCAGGTGTCCAGTTACGCTCCAAAAAAAGAAAATCAGAAGGAACAAAAGTTCTAACGGCTACCCCAAATATGAAAGAACAAAAAGCCAAAGCACTCGAGAAGCGAGCTACAGAAAAACGTCAAGCTGCAAAGCGAGCAATTAAGAATCTGACTTTAATGACACAAGATCGCGAGGAGGAAACAAAGACCATTCTGTCAGATGATGACGAAGACAAAAATATTCCTCCATGTTTATATTGTAACAGTTTGTACTCCCATTCAAGGTCCAAATAATTCTGGATTAGGTGCCAAAAATGCTCAAAATGGGCACACTGTGATTGTGCTGGTATCTCAAAATCGTGCAAAAAATTTATTTGTGAACTTTGCTAATTTAGTTTATATGACATTTTTTCCATGTGAGTGTGTCATTTTAGCTGAATATACTTGGATAAAATGGCATAGCAACGTTTATTTTGTTTCCTTTTTTAATTAAAAAATATTGTGTTGTTAGAGTTTTATGTTCCATGATCTGTTCTACTTCCAAACAATGAACAACATTTATGTTTTTTTAAATTTGTATTAAAAAAATAAAAAAAGTTATTGGACGACAAAAAAGTAGTATGTCATTTTAGGCCAGGTTCCCCTAAATTCAATAAAATAAAAAAATATTGATAACGATTAATAATTTTTGTAAAAGTAAGTACTTTACCTTGCAATCCTTGCTGTTCGTAATATCTGTATATAAGGTCCAGAATGAAGTACCGGTGTTAGAACTTAAAAACCAACCTCCAACTAAACTTGCACCTTTGTACAAGAGTTTCTTTAGACCTGGTAAAGTTTCAGCATCGTTTTTACTTTCTTCGTTTACTAGACATAACACATATCTAAAAAACATATTAATAATTATAATAGTCACCCAGATCAAATATTATTATTATAATAGACGAATGATCATGGCCGTCCACAGCCTTCCTCCACCCCAAACAACACAGTACGTTTTGAGTACGTACGATATTGGTACTATACGTACATGATGTAAAACGTACGTTTTAAGTACGTACACTGGGGTACATACCAGTACGCACAGAAGAATACGTACTATCTCATTGACGTATAAACATAGATGGACACAGCAATAAGCTACCTTTAACACACAATGTTTTGAAGCTTCGATAGAATGTGATGCTTCCGCAATGAGCATAAGCGTGCTTGAATTTTTACTCGCGGGTAATTATTCAGATTTTAACAATTGGAAGTAGTAATAATGTATAAAAACACGTTTAAAGAATTAAAAAAAAAACGAGAGTTTAACTATTAACAAATCACGTATTTATAGAAAAATTAAAATACAATTTTATTTGCTTTAAAATTAATACAATAAAATATAGTTAAATTCAAGTTAATTTTTAATAGGTATCAAAATAATGCTACAATAAAAAATCTTTATGTTTTCTCCTAAATTTGCTACCAAAATAGTTCGATCGTCAATATTATTTGGAAACCTACATAGAAAAATAAATAAGTTTTATTCATTTCACTAATTTATTTGCATCCATGAGAAATATTAAATTAAAAAGGTACTAAATAGATCTTTTTTAATCAGATGATGTCTACTTACAATTTATAAATGTCTACTAATATCATGAACTCATTTCTTATTCAATACATTAATGAACATGAGGTACGCCTATTAAAATGTAAACAAACACGCTTCCTCATTTCCTCATCTTAAATAATGTAAATTTTATGTACTTACAAATGAAATGAGAGATCGGGATGTAAATATTTCGTTTATTTTATTTCACTTTTCACAAATATCACTCAAAATACACAACTTTTACTAAAAGGTAAACAAACATGGAACAGCATTTGAAGTTTGACGTAGATCCATAAGACAGAGAAATGTAAACAACCGTTGCCATTTATAAATAGTTTTCAGTGCTTCTACATATAAAATAATTGATTGATATATAAATTATACGTTATTATTAAATGATAATGCACACTATGTGCACACTTTATATTTTGATTACAATTAAATATATTAATATAACCAATAAATTATTATTTTGGTTTGATAGCACCTGTAGAGTATAAAATACGAAGTAGTATTTTTAGCGACTCGCGAATAAGAAATTTTAAAACAAAACGTGACAACAGTTGAAGGTGCTGAGAATGTGACCTATTCAAATAATTTTGACTTCACAATTTTATGTAAATAACTGAGTCCATCTGTGTTTATACGTCCATGTACTATCTGGTCTTAAGTATGTACCATAAGAAAGAAGAGCTAAAGCATATTTATTATGTTAGGTTATGTTAACCTAACCTAATTTATGTGGTTAGAAATTTTCCACCTCGAGTACAGTTTTGATATACCTAATTCATTGCAAGACAGTTTCATTTAGATTTTTTTTACTTATTTTTGTTGGTGGTGCTTATAGTGTGGTTTCCTGTTATCTTATTCAGTCGAGTGTTATTTAGTCAAAAATGTAGTAATAAGAAGGTGTCGGAGCAAGCAATTGGACGATGGTTGAGGAGAGCCGGGGATCGCTTGAAAACTTTCAAGGAAAAGGAATCAGAATAAAATTTGAATTATTTAAAAAAATATATATTTTATATTTATTTAAATATTAATATATTAAAATATAAATATATATATATATATATATATATATATATATATATAACAAGCGAGTCTTCTACAGCTGGCGCCGCTTCTCGCATCCTAATTTCCAGCGTTTTCTGTCGAAGCAATCTTCAGTTGTTAGATCTCTGGCGGTCATTGCATCGTCGACATCGTCTCTCCAGGATCGTCTTGGTCTACCTCGTTTTCTTCTAGTTGGCGGAGTCCATTGTTCTATTTTTTTTGGCCATCTATTTTCCGGCATTCTCTGAAGGTGTCCATACCAGTTAAGTCTTTTGGCTTCGATTGTGTCTATTATATCTACATCGATTTCCATTTCTCTCCGAATATCTTCGTTTCTCACCCTATCAAGTCTAGTGAGCTGCCATGTCTAGAGGCCATTTCCATGGCCTTAATTTTTGATTTGTTTCTTTGGTTTATTTCCCAGAGTTCGGCGCCATACAGTCCAATACTTTCTATTATTGTTTTATAAATTCTTCTTTTATTTTCTTTTGTTATTTTTTTATTCCATAATAGTCCGTGTAGCTGTCTGGTGGCTGATCTTGCTTGGCCAATCCTGGAATGTATTTCTTCGCTACTTCCTGCTTTTGATGTTATTTGGACTCCCAAGTACTTAAAATTGTCTGTTGGTTTTATAGTTCCCATTTCTATTTGTAGGCTTTCTGGTTGTTCTCCTACAACTAAGTACTCAGTTTTTTGTATATTAGAGGCCCCATTTGGTGTACTCATTTTCCAGTTTTCTAAGCATGTAGCTTATATCACTCTCGTCTTCAGCTAGAATGGCATGGTCATCAGCGAAATGTATCGTGTACAATCTATCATCTCCGATTGGGATGCCCATATTGCAGCACTTTCTTCTCCACAGTGAGAGTGCCTCATTTAGTTATTTATTTATATATATATATATATATATATATATATATATATATATATATATATATATATATATATATATATATATATATATATAAATATATATATATATATATATATATATATATATATATATATATTTATAATATATTTAAAATATATTTATAAATTATTTTAAAAAAATAATTATTTATTTTTGGCATTAATAGATTAACTTGCAGCTTCTAGATGCTGAGCAGTTAGATTTGAGAGGAAACATTTAGCGTCTTAAACGTACCTGCTAAACATATCTTTCTACTGTACTACATGGTTTTAGTAAGAATAAATATATATGATCTAATTTCTAATTAAATTTTAAATATTTAGAGCTTTTCCAATGTTTACGAAAACCAACTCTACAGACTGTGGAACTTCTCGGAGATACAACACAAGAAAAGATTGCTTAGTAGGAAACTGTCAAACAAGAGAATATTACAATATGATAGAGAAGGTAATAATAACTTTCGTCTAAATTTTCCTATGCAAACATGAAGGTAATGTATCTACACGAGTCTGTTAGTACAGGACTCGTTGTCGCTAAACCGGTAGTTTATCTGATCAGCGAGTGTATGACTATGGACTACCTAAGCTCTGAGGTCACAATGGGCGGGAATTTTAAAATCCTTTCCAAACAAATTTTAGGTGTATTTCTCCCATAACAAGTAAATAATAATGATTATGTTCAAAGAATAAATAAGGCCTTTTAGTTGTGAATATTTAGTCTGTGCGATTGGTATTATTCAAAATTGAAAAGCCGATAGAAAGAACCGATATTTTAGATATATATATATATATATATATATATATATATATATAATATATATATTATATAGGTATATATATACCGGGTAGTGAATCGTCAAACGGGCCATAGGAAACCCAATGGTAAATTTTAAATTGTTGAATTGCTGCTTCTCTAATTATTTTAGATCAAAAGTCATAAAAAACTATTTGTAGAGGACTAAATTCTGAATTAAAAACAAATGTTAAAACCATTCTACGAATCAAATGTACTTCAAAATTTTTATCAAAAATATTGATAAAAATTTTGATTCAAATTCAATTCAAAAATATAATACATTTTTCAGACCACCCCTAAAAGTTAGGCCACACGTAATACAAGAATATATTATAACGTGTGTTTTATCATATTAATGTCAGATGTTTGACAATTTGAATTGTCAATTTTTTTTATTTTATCATTAAATAATAAACAACGAATTTTACTAAATACTACTACTGAACAATATTACTTTTTGAACAATAAATTATATTGTTTACAAATCGATCAATATAATGAAATGTACTCAGTTGACGAAAAATCGCATACTGTTGTATTCAGGCAACAGCGCGAACCTTTCCTGTCACTACCGGATCTTTATTTAACGTAAGTTATTCTAATACACTAAAATTGAATTCCATGTTAAGTTAAAATAGGTATACAATTCAATGAATTCCAATATACTGTTACGGTGATCTTTATTCCTAATAATAATATATGATAATTTCTAAACATAAAACTATGACAAATGTTATAATAAAACATGAATAAAACATTTTTATTATTGCTCTTTTTTCCTTAACTGAGTACATTTTTTCATCAACTTAATTTTTCTTTTACATAATAAATCACAAATTTTTGGCCATTTAAATCATAGATAAATATTGTCAAATATTAGAAACGTCAATATGACAAAACGCAACACATAATACACATTCTTGTCACGGCGTCTAGCCTGACTTTTAGGGGTGGCCTAAAAAATGTATTATATTTTAGCAAAATTTTGGAATACGTTTAAGTCATAGAACAATTTTAACAATTGTTTTCGATACATATTTGAGTATTTGAGTCCTCTACAAATAGTTTCCCATGACTTTTGGTGTAAAATAATTAGGGAAGCAGGAATTTAACAATTTAGAATTTTTCATTGAGTTTCCTATGGCCCGTTTGACGATTCATCACCCTGTATATATATATATATATATATATATATATATATATATATATATATATATATATATATATATATATATATATATAATATATATATATATATATATATATATATATATATATATATATATATATATGTATATATATATAACAATCTATTTGATAGTGATATGTTACAAATAATTGTTGATGGAACCTATACAAAAATAAAAATAATTTTTCTTTATGTGGTTTCTCACCAAATCCGTTCTGTATAATTGCTTGCCTATGTACCTCAAAATTGTATTTCAGTAACAATTTGAACATATATTCCAGGTAAAAAAGTTATTTTCGTCATATTTACATGAATGGTACATTGACAGAGACATATTCGGTGTCTTGCTTTGTGTATTTATTTATTTCGAGTGATTTTTCTTATACAAAGTGTCAGCTGCCTAGTATATTGTTTAGATAGTGTAATAATAACATAAAAAGAATAAAAAGTGTATCTGATGTGACTTTTATCGGTACGTTTTATTGCCAGTTTTGGTTGGTAACCACTTGGCACTTGAAGTTATTTTTTTCTAGAATAGAAGAAGTGATGCTGAATCAGTGACATCAGATTTAGAGAATGTGATGAACCGTGAGCTGAAAGTTTTAAAAAACAGTAATCCGGACACAGACAATATTGTTCCTTAGCAAAACAAAGATGGGGAAAGTGATGACGACTTGCATCTGACTCAAAATCAAAGTAGACTCCAAAAAGAGATCATAAAATGGACACTTGATGTTTCACGAGTAAATTAAATTAAAGAGTTTAGGGAAGAAACTGAACCAACTGTACCCGAGAACATTGAAAGTCTTACAGATATGTTTCTACACTTCTTTCCTGAGGAGCTTATTAAACACATTGAAATACAATAAGAATTCGACTAGAGGAGATCTGTCATTTGGATGAAGATGTCGTGCCATTTCAAAGAACTCCGAAAGCTCTTTGGAGGTGTGGCGACTGTGGATGGAAAAAGAATCGAAAATGAAATATTTTTGTTCGATTGTAGAAAATATTATGTTTGGAATATGTAAATCCAATTTACAACGGTTTTAACAATATTTCGGCTTAATTTTATTATGTTTTTTGCCATCTTTTATATTTTTTAGGATAAGTCTTAGTAAAACAATGTTTTATTTCTGTTTAAGATAGTTCTTGAAGACTGATATGTTCTAATTTTAAATTAGTTGTAATTTGTTTAGTAAAAAACAGAATAAATCAAACTACTACAAAAATTGTGGACTGTTTCTTTGTGCTACGTAAATAAACATTTTAAATAAATAAAAAATGTAAATAATAATAATAATGAATGAAGTGAGTCAAGACTATGTCGACAATATAGGGTCGAACTATTGGCTGATATCAGGAAAGATGTTCCCTGAAACAGAAGGTTCAATACTCGCCATGGTTATACCAACCAAAAATTACCTGAAATATATTGTCAAAGACCCTCAGGTCAAAAGCGACAAATGCCGATATGGATGTCAAGCCTAAGAAACGATGCAACATCTTACCGGCGGCTGCCAGGCATTTGCTGCAACTGAATATAAGGAACGGCATGACTCAGTAGGGAAGATCCTCCATCAAGAGATAGCTATTAAACTGGGACTTCTACAAACAAACCATCTCCCATATTATCAATACGTTCCAGAGAGTATGCTTGAGAATGACCACTACAAGCTATACTGGGATCGCACTGTGCTCACAGACCAAACTGTAGCACATAATAGACCAGATCTCGTGCTAGTTAATAAACTAACAAGACAAACAACTCTAATCGATGTGGCGATACCTAACAACAATAATCTGCCTGTTCAGTACAACGAAAAGATCGCCAAGTACAGAGATCTGGAAATACAAATAAGAAGACAATGGAGAATGGAAAGTACCCAGACGATACCTATTATTCTTTCTACCACTGGAGTCATTCCGAAGAACCTCCTAGAAAACATAAAAAAGCTGGGTCTAAATGAACATCTATATAAGATCATGCAGAAATCTGTGCTACTTTCGACGTCCAGATGCGTGCGAAAATTTTTGGGAGATACACCGACGTACCAAGTCACCTAGGACTCGATAACATGGAAAGAGTCCCACCAGAGCTCAATCCTTTTGATACCGTAGGTATCTGGGATGAGTGAATTTTCCCCTTAGAGGGAGTGTGAGCCGTATGGCTAAATCTGGATAATAATAATGAATGAAGTCAGTCAAGACTATGTCGACAATATAGCGTCGAACTATTGGCTGACATCAGGAAAGATGTTTCCTGAAACAGAAGGTTTATTACTCGCCATTAAGGATCAGGTTATACCAACCAAAAATTACCTGAAATATATTGTCAAAGACCCTCAGGTCCAAAACGACAAATGCCGATATGGATGTCAAGCCCAAGAAACGATCCAACATCTTACCGGCGGCTGCCAGGCATTTGCTGCAAATGAATATAAGGAACGGCATGACTCAGTAGAGAAGATCCTCCATCAAGAGATAGCTATTAAACTGGGACTTCTACAAACAAACCATCTTCCATATTATTAATACGTTCCAGAGAGTATGCTTGAGAATGACAACTACAAGCTATACTGGGATCGCACTGTGCTCACAGACCAAGTACAGAGATCTGAAAATACAAATAAGAAGACCATGGAGAATGGAAAGTACCCAGACGATACCTATTATTCTTTCTACCACTGGAGTCATTCCGAAGAACCTCCTAGAAAAGATAAAAAAGCTAGTCTAAATGAACATCTACATAAGATCATGCAGAAAGCTGTGCTACTTTCGACGTCCAGATGCGTGCGAAAATTTTTAGGTGATACACCGACGTAGCAAGTCACCTAGGACTCGATAACATGAAAAGAGTCCCACCAGAGCTCAATCCTTTTGATACCGTAGGTATCTGGGATGAGTGAATTTTCCCCTTAGAGGGAGTGTGAGCCGTATGGCTAAATCTGGGATGATAATAATAATATTGATCTAAGCGAGCAATTAGATAAACAGATTAATAATTTAAGAACTTATTTTCAGGTACAGGCGGAGACATCTACTCTTCATCGCGCGATTTGCGCAGTAGATGACACAACACCAATCAACCTGAGGGAACAAGAAATGCGCATAAACCATCTTACTAAGAACGAAAAAATGCGCATCTGGATGGGTAAACCTCTGCACGGGCGACATCCGAATGAAGTCAGTCAAGACTATGTCGACAATATAGCGTCGAACTATTGGCTGACATCAGGAAAGATGTTCCCTGAAACAGAAGGTTCATTACTCGCCATTCAGGATCAGGTTATACCAACCAAAAATTACCTGAAATATATTGTCAAAGACCCTCAGGTCCAAAACGACAAATGCCGATTGTCAAGCCCAAGCTCTTACCGATCCAACATCTTACCGGCGGCTGCCAGGCATTTGCTGCAACTGAATATAAGGAACGGCATGACTCAGTAGGGAAGATCCTCCATCAAGAGGTAGCTATTAAACTGGGACTTCTACAAACAAACCATCTTCCATATTATCAATACGTTCCAGAGAGTATGCTTGAGAATGACAACTACAAGCTATACTGGGATCGCACTGTGCTCACAGACCAAACTGTAGCACATAATAGACCAGATCTCGGGCTAGTTAATAAACTAACAAGACAAACAACTCTAATCGATGTGGCGATACCTAACAACAATAATCTGCGTGTTAAGTACAACGAAAAGATGGCCAAGTACAGAGATCTGGAAATACAAATAAGAAGACAATGGAGAATGGAAAGTACCCAGACGATACTATTATTCTTTCTACCAATGGAGTCATTCCGAAAAACCTCCTAGAAAACATAAAGAAGCTGGGTCTAAATGAACATCTATATAAGGTCATGCAGAAAGCTGTGCTACTTTCGACGTCCAGATGCGTGCGAAATTTTTAGGAGATACACCGACGTACCAAATCACCTAGGACTCGATAACATGGAAAGAGTCCCACCAGAGCTCAATCCTTTTGATACCGTAGGTATCTGGGATGAGTGAATTTTCCCCTTAGAGGGAGTGTGAGCCGTATGGCTAAATCTGGATAAATAATGTTAAAAAAACTACAAACAATAGATTATTATTAAAATTTAAAAAAATAATGCACCCAGAGAACTATTTTTATGACCACTGTATGACCACAAAATTAAACAGTGTTTATTTTTACCATGGAGCAAAAAGACAAAAGAGGGAATGTAAAGGTAGTGGGGGCAAAAATATCGTTAGACAGGAAATGCCATCTTGAGAGGCAACATTAAACAAGAGAATCTTTCCTTGTTTAATAAATCAAATTTAGTTGGGTTATGTTACTGTTTTGCCCCAACTGTCACATGAAAGCTTATTTATATTGAAGTTTTTTAACAATTGTGTCACATTTTAGACTGTTATCGTTAATATTTATTTACAGTTTCTCGTCTAAGACACATTCTGAAAACTATTTTAAGTTACTGTTAATAAGTGTCGGAAAATTTAAATTTGGCGCATTCGCATTTCCGGATATGTCCGCCATCAGAGGCCACTTTTTTGTCTCCTTTTCATAACGATTAGATTCCCTCTTTTGTCTTTTTGCTCGATGAAATTACCTACTTTGAAACTGTAAAAAATTTTTTAAAATCGATAATTTTTTGACGCTTTACGTGGTTGTTTGAAAAATAGAATAGAAATAGAATAGAAAATAGAAGTTTTTTAGTACGTTAAAAAATGCGTTTCAGCGTAAAAATGATAAAAATAAAAAAAGCGATAAAAATTTTACAAAACGTTCAAAAACGATTTTCAATCAATTTTTATCTCTTGTCACTTGTTTATATATTTAGGTGGTATAGGGTAACTTACCTATCACATTTGGGATTTCCTTTGGCAAACCTGATAGCCCGATTAACTCTTGCTAAAGGTTCTATGATCTCCAAGTTAATGGTATCCGCTAGTTTACTTGAAAGCTCGTTTGAGTTGCTAAACTTTCTAAGCGTTCCACTTTTTTCGGTCATCTTAAGAAGATCCTTGAAGAGAAACAACGAAAATAGTAAATGGATAAGATTCTTCATTCTGTGCAAATTTTATTTTGCAAGAATAGTTGTGGAGCCAAATCAAATCTATCGTTTGTTACAAGGTGAGGATTTTTCTCTAAAGAAAAAGGTGAGTCTCGAACTTTTACAAGTCAACAAAAATTTTTACCGGAATTGAAACTTTTTTACCCGAAAGTTAACCACGACATGTTTTTGGACGTGTTTAGCTTGCTTTCACGATTCAGTTGTCAAACTAAGTGTACCTTTCGTTATCGTTGTGTGCGAGTTATGCCATTTTTACTAATATTCTCAAAGCCCAAAGTAAATACTTCCATTTTGACAATGTTCGCCGTAATAACTGAATCGAAATCCGTCGACAGTTTCCCTGTATTTATTATAATTTTTTAAATCTAAGACTGGACAGACAGACGGATGAACACGACGTCGGACGGATAAACATAATTTATAGGATCAAAATTTTATTTTCGTACTATTTCATTTTAATTACATTAACAACGAACATATCACGTTTTTTTTAAGTTACTTTAAGTTACTGGTCTCCTGGCATTAATATTGTGTGTATAAATGTATATAAAAAATGAGTTAACAAATACTTTTCGAAATTGGCTAAGGTAAAACTAAATGCAATCATACCTTTATATATAAAACAGCTGGTTTGACATATTCTTTAGAATCAATATTAACCTGGAAGTCCCTTTTTCCTACATAGTTAATAAATGCTGTAATAGTTTCTACAGGTCGTTTTGGATCAAATTGGGTGCTCTTCGGAAAACCTTCTTTTTGTAGGTAACTGTTGAAGAAAACTTGAGCGGTTACGAAGTACCTAAAAGAATATAATTATCATTAGGTACTTTATTATACACACTTTTATGATTATATTTTGAATATGACTTAGAAATTATATTTTTGTGACATTTTTATAATTCAATATAAGGTTGAATAATTAAACTTTGATAGTATACAAGGCAACTATCGAACACTGCTTTCAACAGTTACATTGATCGGTTAATTAAATTTCCTCTTTCTGATGATAATTTTAATACAGAACCTAATACTCTTAAGCAGATTGCTTTCAATAATGGCCTATTATAGATCCTAACATTATATACAAACTTCTAAATAGAGCTAAACTAAAAATTGCAGAAAAGCTTGCATTATATCATATCATATTCATCACAGTTTTTTCAACCTAATGCTTCAGATAACATCAGATATTTCTCCTTCACTTATATTAGTAGCATTTCCAATAAAATATCTAAACTTTTTACTTCTACAATTGATAACATCAAAATTTCCTTTAAATCACATAACACTTTAGGTTCCTTCTTAATCAACACCAAAGATAGGATGAATACACTTGATAAAAGTTGTATTTACAAATTAAAATGTGATGATTGTGATGCCTCTTATGTAGGTAGAACCATCAGAAAGTTATCCACTAGAGTCTCTGAACATTTGAAAAGACCAAATTCTTCAAGTTTTGGTCAACACTTAGTATCCAGCAACCATAATTTTAACATCAATTCTGGTTCATCTATCTTACATGACATTAGTAGAAAGAAAAACTATCTTGAGTTGGATTTATTGGAAGATTTGGAGATTACAAGGGAAACAAATGAAAACTCTCACTGTCTTAATACTCAAATTAATTTAAATTGTACTAAATTTAATCCTATTTTTAAAAACTTTATTACAGGTTCACCTCGTAGAAGACCCAGCTCGACTGTTTAGACTTCATGCACTGAGCATTTCAATATTAATTTTAAAGTTCTTCCATTGACTGTGGATTCAACTGAACTACTTGGATTATAACCCATTTATATATTTTGCTTTCAATTTTGATTTTAACTTTTAGTAATTTAACTGCATATTCAGATTTTTCCTTTTTTACAGTACTGATAGCGCTTGGTGGACCATTTTATTGTAGTCAACCATCCACTGTCTAATATATTGTTTAGTCTTATCTTACATTCATACTTTATGTCAACTTCAATCGCTCTCAAACTAACATCCTAATTATTATAGACAGGTTTGAGTGTGAGATTTGGATTATTCAATCTACATAAAAATATACTAATTTTATATTTCATCAGTTGATTTAATATAGTGGTGTCAGTTGGACCTTTGGTCAATATTTAGTTTCAAAGAATTTTGAAAAGTGCAGATCACATAACTGCCCTTTACAAGCTGTCATTTGTCACATGTCATCTCAACATTTTCGCTAGACCGGGTGCCCATTCTGTCTCCGGTTTCTATATAACATGTAGCTTCTCCTTTTAAAAATTTTAAAGTGTTTGTTTGTCTTTGTGTATTGTTATGTCCAAATTTACATGTATGACATTCTACTCATGTCGGATAGGCCACAACTGACGAAGTCAGTCTATAAACGTTTATCACATAAAAACTTTTTTCAACCATAAACTTGGAGTTTTTTATCCAAGTGAATTAATTTTCCTTCTTATAAAAAAACGTTTCTTGGCTTATTTCAGATGCCCCTGAAGATGATCTATTGATCGATAGTACTTGGGCAAGATTTAATTAATCACTGTATTCGATAGTTGCCTTATATACTATCAAAATTTTTATAATTATTGCACACACTTAAATATTTTAGTTCTGGATACAAATGATGAAAATAGACCAAAACAAAAGACGCAACAAATAGTAAGGAATAATAAAAATAAAAATAAAATGCCATTGGTCTTCAGTACCCACAAAAAGCTTTTGATACACCTCCTGTTTTAACACATGCAGAAACTTTTGTTTTTCATTGTTTACATCGGAAACTGGCCAGGCAACCTTATCATGTCTACGGTCTACTGTGCTTCTGACCAATCAATTAACAAAAACAACTTTAATGCCTATTTTAATTCTCTTAAACAAATGTCCATAGCAGGAAGTGACTTTAACTGCAAACATCACCACTGAGGCTCTAGAATAAGCTTAAAATGGGATGGTTAATGGGAGTTGACTGTATACCATATTAGTTAACCCAAGACTACACGCGAGTTGGTCTAAAGAACCTAACCGTGATAAATTTTAAAATTACACCGTTTGTATAGTGGTATAAGAAGAAGAGCTGCCAGATTTTAACGAAACTTAGCAGGATCTAAATACTCGTCTCTTTTTTGTGGGAAGGGACAAAAAGATGTTGTGGAATAAATTTCCCGTGGCTGTTTAAAAAAACGACACGGACAGGAACATAGTGACTCAATCTTCTGGAGTAATTGGAAAATCTAGAGAAGCAAAAATCATTACTGATGCTTGGCAATTGTTTTTTTCCAGACTCCGTCGTCAGCGAAATAGTTGAACACACAAACAAATATATTCTAAAGCTTTGGACAAATTTCAGTATAGACAGAGATGTAACCTGTTCAAAAATGGAGGAAATTAAGGCACTTATTGCTCATCTATATTTTGCTGGAGTCTTGCGGCGATCACACCAACATTAGAGATTTTTCGTCTTACAATGGGATTTAATCAATTTCTGTCCTGAAAAAAAATCCTGGAGATAAATTTAGAAATCAAATAGATTACAGCCTCACCAATATTCGCTGGAGATCGTCCATTCAAACAGTCAGATCATATCCAGGGGCGATATGCGGATCCGATCATACTCTCCTCGTAGCTAAAGTAATGCTTAAACTTAAAGCACCCAACAAACAAATAGAGATAAAGAGGATAGAACTAAGAAAGAAAGACGACCTTCTACAGGAAGTACAGAAAAATATGCCCTCTATTCGTAACGGAACATCACAAGAAATATGGGAGACTGTTAAACACTGCGTAACAACACCAGTGGATCGCTCAAAGAAAAATAATCCGGTGAAACGGAAACACTGGATAACAGATGAAACTCTTAAAGTAATTGAGAATAGAAGAAATCTTTGTAAAAGTGGTGTATATAGTGAAAGGGAAAAAGCTAGTTTAAGAAACCTCAATAAAGAAATAAAACGTAGATTTAGATAGAACGGGCTGACAAAAAACAGTACTATCAAAGTATATGCAAAGAAATTGAGAGACATGGTCAAAATAATCAGCCGAGAGATCTATTTAGAAAAATACGCTACCTGACAAGAGACGTCAGAGCCAGAACTTGGGCCATTGAAGATAACACTGGAACCCTGAGAACAAACAGAGAAGACATAGCAGAGATATGGAGATCGTATTGCAGGGACCTATATAAAGATGATCAACGCCAAGAGCTTGTTAGCAAAATCTCTGACGAGGTGGAAGAAGAACCTGATATACTCGAAAATGAAGTAAGACAGGCTATCAACAAGCTCAAATATAACAAAGCACCAGGTCCAGATATGATAACAGCAGAAATTAAAGCCACAGAAGAAACTGGCGTAAAGTTACTTCATTTACTCTATAACCAAATATGGCATTCCAAACAATGGCCTGAAGACTGGACAAAATCTACAATAACGACCATACATAAAAAAGGCAGCTTCCATAAATGCGACAATTATAGAACTATCTCTCTTATATCCCATGCTAGCAAGATAATGCTACATATAATCAATAAGAGACTGAAAACATTCCTTCAAAGAGAAATTCCACAAGAGCAAACTGGATTTACCAAAGGTAGAGGCACTTTAGAACACCTGCGAATATAAGACAGATAATCGAGAAATCTAGGGAATTCAACATCCCACTATACATCTGTTTTATAGATTACCGTAAAACGTTCGACAGGGTCAAGTGGAGACACTTATGGCAAATACTAAAAGAAGTAGGCGTACCACAACATCTAATTACGCTTATCACTGATCTATATGAACACACTACTGGATCAGTTAAAGTACTTGACACACTTTCGAACGAGTTTTATCCAGAACGGAGTGTCATACAAGGATGTATATTATCTCCACAATTATTCAACATACATGGGGAGTATATTATGCGAAGACCACTTAAAGGATGGGAAAAGGGCATCTCAATAAATGGTCATAAACTAAACAACCTACGTTTCGCAGATGACACAGCCCTTCTTGCAAATAGTCAAGCAGAGCTGATGGAACTTATACGACTGATCAAAAAAGAAAGTCAAATATTTGGTCTGCAATTAAAAATATCAAAGACAAAGATCATGATAGTGGATAGACTACACAACAATCATCCACACATAACTACAATTGACCAGTTCGAGGTTGTGAGCTCATACTTATATCTGGGATCATTAATCACAAACACAGGGTCATTACAAGAAGAGATTAAACGTAGATGTGATCTAGCAAAAGTTGCCACAACAAAAATGACCAAAATATGGAAGGACTGTCAAATTTCAAGAGCGATAAAGATGAGTTTGATCAACTGCTTAATATTCCCAATACTGACCTACGGATATGAATCTTGGACTCTGAGACAATCGGAGAGAAGAAAGATAGACGCCACTGAAATGCTCTGTTGAAGACGAATGTTACGAATTCCTTTGACCGACCGTAGAACAAATAATGTAATTTTAAGAGAGCTAAAAGTTAGCCAACGACTCTCTAGTAAAGTCCATCTCCAACAATTAAAATATTTTGGACATGTTATGAGAGCAAACACAGAAAACATGGAAAGACTCATAATACAAGGAAAGGTAGAAGGCCGAAGATCACGAGGAAGATCCCCAACAAGATGGATAGATCAAATTACAGGAATATACCAAAGACCTATGCATGAATTAAAAGAAATGACCAGAGACAGAGATCTCTGGAGACGGACAATACACGACATCGCGTCGACCACTACACTCCCCCTGGGGGTCAGGATTGAAGAGAGAGAGAGAGAGCTTCACTTTGACGATCTTTATAATGGAGTGGAACGGAAACA